AGATACCAGTTCATTTATATAAAATAAGACCATGAATAGCTTAGTTAAAATGTTTTACGTGTAAAACTCAGTATTAAAAAGAATTTATAATGATAGTGTATCCAGTAAAGTCTCTGCTTAAGCATAGGATATTAAGAATTATTTGCATATACATTCCAGGATATTAAGAATTATTTGCATATACATTCTGAAACAATGTTGTCTGCCTGAGGTTAAATTTATCATGCCTTCAAATTTAAGTATAAATGAAAATAATTTATAAAAATATAGATTTCAGGTTAACTTTTCTCAGCCTTTTCAAAAATGTTGTTATTTGACAGATCAAAAAAGTTGTTCCATTTTCATGGCAAGGGGAAATAATTTGAGCCGGAATCTTAAAAGAAAACGCCAATGAGTAATGCAAAAAGAATTGAACTTTCCATGAAAAAATTATGTCTTTCTGAGGGGTCATTTGATCGTAGCGTATTCAGCAAGTCTTTTCTGGCTCTGTAATATGTATGCATTGCGAATGTTGCTTCTGCCTTTGTTTTTAGTTATTAAAATTCTTTGTTTAATTTATATGGTTAACGAATATATCTTGGTGCTCGCCTTAGTAGCATATATACTAAAATACACATGGCCAGTGTAAAGATAGCTAACCAATTCATGAAGCATTCCATATTTTTATGTTAATTAACCTTAGTGTGGTGATCATTTCATGATCTACACATATTTCAAATCATTATGTTGTCTGCCTTCAAATATAAAGTTATGTGTTGATTATGTCTCAGTAAAACTGAGGAAGGGGGAATATACTTTGAACATGTCAATACATTGAAGATCATCAAGAAAACATTTTATTGTTTAACATGCTATTGAGGTAATTTTGTAGTTGTGATTTTTATGTCAATCGATTTTATTTTATCTCTATATTCTGGATAGTTTTTGCCATTCAGAAAGAAGATATGCACGTGGTATAAGGAGAAAAAAAAGCTCTAATATATGCTTCTATTTCCTCAATATTCCAGCTTAAATTGATATTTCTTAGTGACTCTAAATGCATAAATTTAGGTTTTGGGGGAAAATATCTGAAGTGAGCTTGAAAACTGGACCATGAATTATTAATGTATAAATGATACAAAGACCTCTGGTCAGAATAAAAGACCTCATCTGCACACTTAGTGGATTTTCCTGGTGGTCCTTCAGATTGGAACGGTCTACAAACCCCACCCCTCCGCTCTTGGTGTGTTGAAAAGTTTAGCCACTTTCCCTGTGAGCTCCGGTATTTCCTTTGCAGTTGCCCAGGCTCATTTTCTTCTTACACAGGCATGTGCGTGCACATACACACCCTACTTCTGGATAAGGACATTTTACTAGTAGTCTTCTTCCTTATTTTGTTTCTGGTGATCTCAGGACTTTAGGGGAACTAAATAACAGCTTCTCTTCACAAAATGCTCTCGGACCTCTTTATAGTACATTAGCTAAGCAGTGTGGTCCCCTGATGAAATGTGCTAAATAAAAAGGTTTTCATACCTTTTTAGATTAATACGCTAAAAATGCATATTAATCTATCCTCACAATAAAATCGTTCCCAACTGCCAGTAGGCCTAACGCACATGTTTGTGCTAGTGTGATGCAGTGTGACATACAAACTGCATGGCGTAAATAGCAGGAAGCTGTGCTTTTTACTTCTTTACATGCTTCATTCAACAAGATGTTTTTAAATGCCTCAGCTCTGTAGCATCCACTAGAGTTTCCTACAGCCCTTTCTCCTTATTTCATTCTGTTCCTTCTGTCAGATTTTTTTCTGCCTTGTGAACTATTATTTATTCTTTCAGAACTTAACTGAAACACATCTCTACTTGACGCTTGAGATATCTACTTGACTCTTTAGCCTCTGATGTCTAAACATCATACCTGTGCTTGGGGATGTTCGTCCATCCATAGCATTCTGTATCTGATCTCCTGCTAAGAGTGTGAGTTCCCACCACCCAGCCTAGGTTTGCGTAGATAATATGGCTTTTACTGCACGGGAGAAAGTCTCCTTATTGCTCCATGTTGCTCTGGGCCATGAGTTGACATGTATAGAGCATATTGAGAGTTCCTTTCTCTCCTGGATTTGATAAAATAAGTGGATTTTGTGACTGTAGTTCTTTAGCTCTTATTCTAATAATTATTATTATGAGTTTAAAAAAGTTTTGTTGAGAAACAATTTATATACCATATTTAAATTAAATCCATTTAAGTGCAATTCACTGGTTTTTAGCAAATTTACAGAGTTGTGCAGTCAGTGCTACTCCCATTATAGAACAATTGCTTTAGCCCAAGGAGATCCTAATTGAGGTATATGAAAATATTGACGCAGCTGTTGGGGATCATCTCTGTGATAAACTGAACTAAGTGACCTCAAGATGCGCCAGTGTTTTTGGCTCTAGACTGTCTAGAGCACAGCATTCGTGAAGGAGCCTAGATACTCCGTGCTGCTGGGTCCTAAAGAGTAGTGCTTGCTGGCAGTCCCAGGAGGGCTCCCTCTGTGACCTGCGCCAACTAAGCCCGCCACGCGCTTTGCCTCATTTGAGATTTGGGATATAATCATCTGTAATGCAGATGCCGTCCCCGCTTAATACATAAGCACTCCGGAGGAGGATAAGAAGTGAACTCAAGGTCAGACCACTAGTAACTGGAAGAGGCTGGGATTCAGACTTGAACATGACCTGATTCGGGATTTCACCTAACTGTGTACTACACCCGCCTTGTAGTTAGTTGGGTAGTTATCTCTTGTGCGCCTATGAAAAGATAAATCTTGTAATTGCACTGGAAGAGTTGTTATTTAACCTGAGGAGAGAGAATGCTGTTGAAATGATAAAACTCAGAAATCAGCCTTTTCTCTGATTTAGTTTGAAGCCCAAAGGGCATTTTCTGAATTGGGTCAAGCAAACCTCGAAAAGAGAAGAAATAGGAGTGTGTTTTAAAAACTGTAAAATATTGAGGCTATTTACATTTTCGTCACGATTGCTGATTGAGTTTACTTTGGGAATTATTTTCTCTTTTAAGCCTTAACAATGTTGGCATTGATTGACCGGTTTGATACAAGTGTTATATCAATTTGCATACTGGTTTGGCTGCTGTAGCAGAGATGTAGAGTGACTTAAACCAAACAGAAGTTTCTTTCTCAGATAAAAATCTGGACAGGTGATCAAGATTTGGCATCATTGTAGGCATCCTGCCTCTTTTTATCTCATTGCTGCGCCATCACTAGACATGGCTTTCATCCTGAGGGCTAAGGTAACTGTTTCAGCTCCCTCCATCATATCCTCATCAGCCATCAAGAAGAGAAAAGGTACAGAGGAAGAGGTGCATTTCCCCCCCTCTTTTTAGAGCATGTCTAAGAAATACAGGTATTCATTCCACATCTCATTATAAAACTTAGTTATCGGCCCACATGCCTATGAAAGAATTGTAGAAAATATAGTTGCATGAGGTATCAGTGAGGGTGGAAAAGAGGCTGTATACAACTGAAAACTCAGTTGTGTATTAAGGGTGGAATGAATGTTAGGAAACAGCATTATTCCAGGAAGATGAGTTTAATATGAAAACATAGGCCTGTATATATGAAGAGGGCAGGTATGGGGTGCAGCAGGCCACGCTCTTTCCTGTGTTTCCTTTCATTTGGGCCAGAAGATGGGACCAAATCCACTTCTGTGGAAATGATTCCCACAGACTCTGAGGGCCCTTGGGGTGGTTTTAAGTTGGTAGTGTGTCAGAATATCTTTTATAACACAGTATCAATTTGAACTCTCCTTGTTGTTAAATGTAACTGCTGTAGGCTGGACATTTGGGTTGGGAGTACCACATGCTGGGTGTTTCCTCAGTAAAGTCAGGATGTATTTTCTTGCAATATTTCTAGGGAGAAAAATCTTGTAGCCATTCAGAGTACTATTTTAGTTGTCATAGTATTATTCCTCATAGAAGGCTTAAAACTCCTGTATAGCACGCATGCAGACTTTTGTGTAACAAAACAACTCTTGTGTCTAAGACGCTTGATGATAGCATATTGTAACCTTGATATTTAACTAGGTTGTGGGCTAGAGGATGTCTTAACTTTTTTTCATAGTTAATAGTATCTTAAAGCAGTTGAAAAGTTGTGTCTTTCATCATGCTATGTATATTTAGTCTACAATTTTGAAGTGATTTAAACATGCAAGTGTTGTTTTTCATCTTTCATTGTTGGAGATTGCAGAAAACCGTTAGTTTTCTTTAAGGATTAGTTTTTCCCCAGCTTGCTAGACCAACAAGAGAAATGAGTTTGTGAAGAGACACATACTGTCTGCCAACATGTCACTAGATAACTAGATAGCATTTTTTTTAAGATTTATTTATGCATACAGAGTTGGGGTGCAGGTTAGAGGTACAGTGGGTGAAAGGATTCACCAGAGAGAGTGGGGAGCAGAACAGGCAGATCAGCTGAAACATACTGCTGAGGGGAATAGCAGGTGAGACAGGAGATGTCTGCTGCACCATGTGGGTCACCTCTGGGGCAGGGGATCGAACTTGTACTGAAGTGGCTGCTGCTAGCTTGCAGTGCTGGGCTTTAACCTCCTGCACCTCCAGGGAGGGCCCGTAGCATTTTTCTATAGCCTTTTTTTTTGATCAGAAAAGATCATTTGATTTCTTGGTATTAGAACACTTCATGTAATCTTTTGGTGCCAGTTATTTCTTTTGATAACTATGTCCTTTTCTGCGCATACATTTTGGAAGCCATTGATTTCAAAATAAATCCTGAATTATTTGAAGGTCTATGTGCTCCAGTTCACTCAAGAGCTCCCAGGGTTACCTCCAATAATTTCCTTTACATGCACTCTCGACACAGCCACTTTATAAGTGCATCAAATAAGCTGCTGTCTGTAGAAGTGGCAGTGGCTTCCTGATTCCCCTCTTTTTTGTGGGGGTGGGTTCCCTTTGCTCTTGATCTGTACCTACCTTCTCAGCCGTCACGAATGTTTTGTTTTTCTCTCTTGCAGATGACAAGCTTGGTGCTGCCGGGCATGGTAGAAAGGTGAGTCACAGCTCACACACAACACTAGAGAGACAGAGCTCATGATTATTTATAGGGAGAATCCTTTCTTTGAAAAATTCATTAAAGTGACTAATGAACCTGTCCTCCATGTCTTAGTGACAGAGTAAGGTGTGCCTGGCGAGTCACACGGTAGCACATGAGTCATCCAGTGGAGGCCTTTTCCACTTGATTCCCTTTTTATTTCCCTCTCCAGCGTTGTGGTGGTTCCTTTAGATCAGGATTAAAAAGTCTGCCTGAGTCACCATCACTAACTCAATTGCCTGCTATTCTGAGGGGGTGGATAGAGTTCCTGGGATATTCCCGGGAAGACCTTCTTAAGGCTGTACACACTCAGAGCCAAAACCAGTGGAGTTTTGTGAAACAAAACCCCATCTCTGGTTCTTCAGTTCTTACTGGGAAAAGGGGGGTGTGAAGAACTTAGGCATGTTATAATGTGATTTTTGCAGCATCAGATCTGCCCTTTGGGCAAAGGGCTGTTTCCCTAGCTCCATCTGTGTTCCCATTTGATCGGGGTCCATTAGGCTATGCTGGGTGTCTTATTTTGATAGAGGATTGATTGATTGAATTCTTAAATTAGAAATAGTGTGAAGTTTAAAATTGTAATGAAGCTTTGTTGTTTCCTTGGAAAAGCCTGAATGATGTCTAGGTCTTCAAAGAACAACTGCTGAAAAGAGCTGGGCTTGCATCTTGAGCTAGCTTGATCATTCACTACATTTAGGGCTCCACGGTCACCCTCTGCAAAAGAGCTGTGGGTTTGGAAGAGTTCTGAAGGAATCGCAGCTTTGGGAAGGGCAGACCCAAGGGCCAACGGTCCCACTTCATAGAGAAACTTCTGTGACCAACTTCAGGCAGGGATTATAGCTAATGCATATCAGCAGGTGTTAGTGGAAGGAGAAAACTAAAGTTAGGAATCCGATTTGCTTAGCACCTGCTGTGTCCATTGAGAAACTATCTTAGCAAGACTCTGTTTTTATGTGATCTTGCATATTTTTTATGTTGTCTCCCTTTAGTAAAAATTCCCTTTAAGACCTTCAGGCTGCTTTTTTGTTGGTTGACTGTGAGATTGGGCCCCTGGTGGTCAGTCAGTCATAGCAGAACAGCTCGGAGGGATAAAAATAGGACGCCATCTTACCCCTAGTTTTGACATCTGCAAGTGACCTATGCTTAATGCAGGGTAGTAAAGGCCACCCAATAAAAGGAAACAGTTCTAAACCACAGAGGTATTGTAGGAGGAAGTTGTGTGTGCTGGTGAAATGATATCAGAAGATCATGGTTGTGAAGTCATCTAGCAAACCCTACTTGGATTCTGAGTCATAGGTTTTCAGTACTTTACATGCACTGAAACAAGGTTCCCTCACTTGACAGGTAAAAAATGAGCCCCCAATAGGTGTTGTGTTCCGATGTTTCAGAATTAATAAATGTTACAAACATAAGGTGCTAGAAACTTTGCTCCTATCTCTGTAGACCTAACTGCAGTGATCAGTTAAAGCTGAGGCATTATGTAAAAAAATTGCAGAGAAGAGGAGATGTCCACTCACTAGGCGTAATTTTTTGCTCAGTCCTCTGCATCCTGCAGAGACTAAGGATCCTGCAGAGACTAAGGATGATTTTATAAGGCGCTTTCATGGGTCAGAGCTGGAAACAATGTTCACCACTTCTGCCTACATTCTGTTATCTAGAACTCAGTCATTTATGAGTTTCACTAATTCCAAGGGGTGGCGGAAATGTTAGCTGGGTTCCCAAGAGGAAAGAGAACTCCAAGTTAACAACAGATCATCGGAAAGCCTTCTTGCTCACATGTTATACATGATTTTACTATAGCCTGCCCTTTTTACCATTCCCAAGTGACTTATCTCTTGTGGTTGGTTTTCATAGGAACAACAGAGTCCTTTATAAAAATCCTTTGTTGTTGTTTCCCTTTTCACTGATTCTACCTGTGATGTATGAGATTTTGCAGGCCCTCTAGAACGATAGCCTGGGGCCAACTGACTATCACTAAACAAGTACCTATAATCAAACTAAGGTATTATTACCATAGAAGTAGAAAGTGCATAATTACATTATAGAGGAAACTTGCTCTTTCCACTTCCCTGGAATTATAAACATTGTGTACAGCTGGAGCCAGGAGGTGGTTGCTATAACAACCATGGAAAAGCTAAAAATAGCCTCTTTCATACTGTATTGCTTAAGGTGGAATTATGACATGTTATGGTGTTTTAGGGCAGGCAATTCTCTTTCATGTGGTAAATGTTTGCAAACTTTCTTCAACAAAGCAATATTTGTATTGGATTTGTAATATCTGTAATGTGTTCAGATTGCTGGTTCTAATTATATACCTGGCCCCTGTGTTTTGGGATTCTTTTCTGACATAGAGCTCTGTTTTGATATGTTTCTCAGTCTTCTTGAGAGTCTATTAGAGAACTGTCTGTATCAACTTCAATGTTGTGTTTAAGCTTAAGAAAAAAAGGAGTGACCCACCAAAGCACCCTGAGGTACTCTCTAGGAAGAGCTGGAATTATGAAGAATGGTGATGGAGTCTCTTTTACACGGTTTCCTTTGCCTGCCATCAAACTCTTTATGTAGTGAGCTGTCCACATGAGGACAGAGCCTGTGTCACTGTTCTGACAGCAGCTTTTAGGCCTCTGCATTTCTCCCAGCTCCTTTGCAGTGGGGGGTGGTGACGCGGTGCCTGAGGAGGCAGACATCAGTGACTTATTTCAAAGGAGTCCTGTTGCTTCCTCTAGGTCAGTAGTATTTTTATAGAGCTGTGGACAAGGGCATTGTTGCAGCTTGGTAGAGCAGTGAGGCATTTATAGAAGAACATAGGCCTGGCAATTTTGTTTTAAAGATTTATTTTTTTTATGCATACAGAACTGGGGTTACAGGCCAGAGGTGCAGGGGTGGTGAGAGGATTCACCAGAAGCAGCGGGAGCAGAACATGCCCACCAACAAAGGGCCCTGCTGAGGGGAGCAGCGGGCTGGTCAGGAGAGGTCTGCTACACCATGTGGGTCACCTCCAGGCCGGGGATCAAACTCATGCTGAAGTGGCTTTAGCTTTTAAGTGCTGCACTTTAACCTGCTGCGCCACTAGGGAGGGTCCAGGCTTGGCAATTTTTAATCCAGTTGACAATTAAGGAGAGTCTTGTGATTGGGAATTTCTTGGGTCTGAGGAAATTCTACTAGAAATAGTTTAAATAAGAAGCTATAAATCCTAGGTCCTGAATTTCATAGGGTTGAATGATTTTAATGTTTGACTCTTCTATGTGGGTGAGAAGATGGAAAAAAATACGTTTATGTGAAAAGGTGTTTTCTTATCAGCAATGGTGTTTTCTGCCCTGTTTTTGCAGTATTTTAGTGCTAGTAGATCCTCAATAATTTGCACCACTGAGACACCATCCTGTGGCTGTTAGCAAGTAAGCAATGTGATGAATTAAGAGTGTTATATCACAGAAAATATTCCTTGACTTGTTTATTTGGGTATTTGTCATAACAAACTGAAAATGTGCTGAAGGATGAGCAACGTGAGTCTTCATTATGGAACTTCAGCAAATATTCTTAATGTACCTTCCAATCTTAGAATTGTTCCCCAAGTCCCTGGAAAATGAGAGATTAACCAGGGTTGGGTTTTATGTTTGTTTCTGTGTGCAATTAAGCGCAGCCCATTTTGTCCTTCTGCTTGATATAACAGAGTTGTCATGAGCCTGGCTGTGCCATGGAAACTGGTTTGACGTCACTAATTCTGCTTAGATGGAGGATTAGAGTTAGACAAAGTGGTTGATTTTAAAGATGAGTCCTTTGTGCCTCGTAACCCCAAATATGCATCCCCATCCCTACATAAAGAACAGTAGCCTGTACAGTACAAGGATTAATTCGGCTATACCGTGTGTTATTTATGATTCAGACAAAACTAAGTTGAATATTAATACCCTTGAAGAGGAGAGAGAGGATTGTGTGCTGTGTTGTTGTGTTGTGGAGGTTGCGGGGGAGGGGGGAGGCTTTTGCAACACAGACAAATATGTGTGGGTCTTGGCAACAGCAGTTTTGTATAAGGGGTGTTTTCTCTACTGTGATTTTAGTGCAGTTGTAAATGCAGTTCCTTTTATTATATCCAGTGTATCCTTGCTTTATACTCAATGTGCCTTGGATTGGTTTGGATGTAGTTTACAGTTCAGATATTATGTTTTGAATAAAGTCCCCCTCCCTCCCCAGTTCTGACTTACTGATAAGTCAAACGAACCCTGCCCCTAGAAATTTTAAATTGGGGTAGAATATTTGAGAACCAAAAATCTCAGCTGCCTCAAGGAGTAAACAATGAAAGGATGCTGCCTGTGTAATTGTGGCATATTTGATTAGCCGTCTCTTTTAATTTTGAAAGTGGGAGAGAAGTTTTTATTATCTTTAAGTGAATTATCCTGTATCGAAATCATAGCTTTGGAGAGGGAAGTTTTAAGAGTCTGTTTTGGTGAGGTTAACATTTGACTTTTAAAATGGACTTAGTAACATTAGAATTTTGGAAGACTTTCAAATTACATTTCATTTGTAAAGGATGAAATAAATGGTGTGAGATTTTGTTCAAGGGTATACACAACCGCCCTAGCCAACTTGTACACGCTAGCGTGAGCACATGACCCCACTGATGCGACCAGCAGTGGTGGTGGCCTCCAGAAGAAACATCGCCTTCACTGCAACTAGTTCAGATCGGCTCTAACTGTGTGAGAACACACAGTTCCTGCTTATATGACAGGAGATTAAAATGCAACTCTGCAACCCGATAAGGGTTTCTAATTAATTCACAGAGCTCTTCAACCATCACCATAATCTAATCACAGGGCGTTTTCAATACTTTAAAAAGATAAAGATCTACCTACCTACCTACCTACCTACCTACCTACCTACCTACCTACCTACCTATCTATCTATCTATATTTTTTTATAAAGATTTATTTATGCATATAGAACTGAGGTACAGGTCTGAGGTGTACGGGTTATGAGAGGATTCACCAGAGACAGCCTGGAGCAGAACAGGCAGACTGATGAAGTACACTGCTGAGGGGAGCAGTGGGAGAAACAGGAGAAGTCTGCTGCACCGTGTGGGTCACCTCTGGGCAGGGGATCGAAATCGCACTGAAATGGCTGCAGCTAGATAAAGATATTTTAAATTAATACTTTATTAAAAGTCTCCTATAGGGCCCTCCCTGGTGGTACAATGGGTTAAAGCGCAGCACTAAGAAGCTAAAGCCATCTCAGCATGAGTTCGATCCCCGCCCCAGAGGTGATCCACATGGCACGGCAGACCTCTCCTGTCTGCTTCTCCCCTCAGCAGTGTACTTTGCTGATCTGCCTGTTCTGCTCCCCACTCTGTCTCTGGTGAATCCTCTCACTATGCCTGTACCCCAGTTCTGTATGCATAAATAAATAAATGTTTAAAAAAAAAAGCTCCTGTAACAAAACTAGTTTTCAGCCCATTTTAATCAAAGGGACTTTCACAAATCTAAGTAAACTGAAGTGACTACATATTCATTATTAATTGACCAGTTTTTAATGAATGAGTTTTAGCTCCTTATGCAACTTACTTTCTTTATCTTTTACTTCAAAGAGGAAAGTCTTCTCTAGCTTCTAGAGACAATTTTTTTCCCCTGTGAGAGAAAAATACAAGAATGGTGTAATTAAATATATTTATTAAGTATTTCCAACTTTCTTCGGAGCCCTTTTATGACATTTGTTAATTTTCAAGGACTTCACTGCTTAGGAGAAAGTGTGTATTAGTAGTAAGGACTCTGGTTTTAAAACAAAACTGGGAACAACATTTTCCAGCGGCATCCTGGTAGAGGGACTGGTTTGTGTGTGTGTGTGTGTGTGTGTGTGTGTGTTTACTATAATTGGAATATTTATTTTTCTTGTTGAATTGTGTGTGTTCTTTATGTATGTCGAATATTAATCGAGGGGCTGGCTTTTATGAATGAGTTTTAGCTCCTTATTCAACTTATTTTCTTTCATCCGTTCGCTGGTTGAAGTGACATATGACCTCTAATCAGATGACGGACTAGGTGACCTTTCGAGATTATTTTCCAGATTTTTATCCAAAATAACTAGGATACCAATGAACTGTATTGCTTTTACTTTGCCTAAAGATTATCTAAATAGTTCTTTTTTTTTTTTTTAGTACTGAAAGATTAGGATGGGGAAAGTAAATCCAGGCAGATAACAATGGTAGACAGAATGGAATCAGATCTGAAGGACAGGTGGTAGATGGGAATCTGTTGTAGTAGCTGAAGAAGGGGACCCCCCCCAACCTTGCTCGAGAAGAATGAATCTAAGCCAGGGAATCAGTTATTGATTCTGCCTAACATTCTTAATTCCACCCTTTACCTGGCTCGTATATGCTAGCTAACAACATTATTTTCCTCAGGCTACTTATCAGTTATTTGTGGAATTGGTAATTTCCTCACTTTTACCTTTTAGTTTAAAAGTTCCATTAGAAATTGCGCTTTACCTTTTAGCAAAAGAACATGGTTTGCTAAATAGGGATTGCATGATCTTAGTGTCAAGCCTTTGTTTAATGCCTGAATACCCACTACCCAGGAGAAGGAGGAGAGCAGTACATCACCCTGCTCATGTTGTGGGGAGTGTCTGATAAACAGTGTAGGACCTACGATGTCCAGAAGGAAGAACGCATTTGTATACATGGAAAGTCAGCAAGGTGGAATGTGACATTAAGCTTCAATAAAGGCAGATAAGGAGTACCGGACTGTTTCTAGGAGTGAGAATTCTTGGTGCCATGGCCAGAGAAGACCTTAGAGGGGACTGTAGAGCTGGCTTACCGATGGCCTAGATGAGTAATATGGGGTAATGAGCTAATCGCAAAGAAGAGCTATTTTTAGTGTATTGAATTATGCTTCATTCACTGACCACTCATATCACATGCTGATGACAAGCAAGGGAAGATATGTGTTAGAAGAGCAGCTATGTTACTGCTTCAAGAAATCTAGATCTAGATCTTGATTGATAAGTTCTAGTTGTACATGTAATCATGCAATTTCATGCCGTTGCCTTGGTTCATTTTCCTTTTTAGATCTAAAGGGGCGATTCTGAACATCTCCTCTGCGAGTGGCCAATACCCGGTCCCGCTGCTCACCATTTACTCTGCAACCAAGGTGAGCAGTGTTTTCACCAGTCACCAAGAGGATGTGGGGTAATCTTCAATCTGAGAAGCATGCGTAGAACTTTCTTGAAGTTCTGTTCTTGGTAGTTTGCAAACAGACTTGAAGAAAAGGAGGCATGCTGAGGAATATAAACTTTGCAAATGGAGTTTACCAGTTTTAAAATTGATACTTCTACTTTCCATAGCGTGCTGGCAAGTCCTGTGAGCTGAGATGATCAGACCATGATATTAATGAGCTTGCCACTGAAGATCTGATTCCTGCCTGAATGAGTCAAACAACATAAGTTTCAAGGCTATAGAATTGAATAGAAGGAATGCGATAGCTGATACACAAATACACATAGTAGGCCCAAGATAGACTACATGAGAGTGTGAATATTTATCACATTATCCAGAATTCACAGACATCTATTGTTAGTTCAGGAGCAAAACAAGGATTTTCCAGAACTTTATGTAGGGTGTCAATTTTACACAGCATCACCATTCACTTCTTTACATTGCTACTAGGAAAATAACTTGGAAAACATTTCCTATTACTTGCAGGTCAATAACATCATCTTCATATACATTGTTGAGGCCTGGAATACATCTGTGAAATGAAAATGATCATTAAGTTGCTGAAATTAAACAAGTATTTCAGGAAAAAGGAACAAAATAAAATAAAACACACCATAAGAACCTGCAATATGTCAGGGGAGGAAGGGAGTAGACATACCTGCCTTCTTTTTCACCTGGCTCTTTGTCCCCTGAAAAAACAGTGACCGCTGGCTTTTGCGAAAACTTGGCCCTACTCCCACAGTCTGCCAGCTTTCTGTATCTCTGAAACGTGGGGGGTGGGGGTGCTGCTTGAATTGAGTACCACATTTCAAGTGACTGGAGAACTCCAGTTTCTTACCTGTTCTGCTCCATGGACATGAGATTCTTGCTAATTGGGACCCCAGTAGAGTCATTATTGAGACTTCACATTTCAAATCTGAGGGTGAGTCCACCTTTGAAAAATAGAACACAGAATATTTTACAAATAGATTTAAAGTTGTACCAGCAAAGAAGGGCTGTCACGCTCATCCCTCCCCTCCCTGGATCTTGCCAGCCCAGAGTACCCAGAGGATCATGCTCTCTTCTTCTCTTTACTGACAACAAAATCCCCATAGAGCAGAGATGCATAGAATTCATATGGTGTTTCTGTTTGAATGGCAGGTGGGAAGAAGGAACACATCCTTTGTTATATAATAAAACATTTCTTCTCTGGGGAAAAAAAAAGATAAGAGGAACCTTTTCCAGTTAAATCAAAAATTGATCTGGATATTACATTTAGTAGCAAATGAAAACAGCGAGAGGTTCTGAGGTGTATTTTAAGGTCTTTTCCACACTTGAAGGACAAAGAATGATTAGAAGCTAGTGATAAACGTTTAGTTTAGTGGTCTTGTTTCTGTGGGCTCAAGTCAGGGAGATTGGTGTAATGTGTGCGTTTAATTCTCACTCCCACCCCTCTCTAGGCTTTTGTAGATTTCTTCTCGCAGTGCCTCCACGAGGAGTATAAGAGCAAGGGCATCTTAGTGCAGGTGAGTGGAGTTTGTTTCAGTTAAGTGTCCCTGTTTTGTGTGGTTTCCACAGCAACTGTCGCTGTCTTGGCAACGAAAGAAAATCACGTTGGTAAGTGAATGTGATGTTAGCACACTATTAAAGACAGGCAGGGTCTCTTTTTCCTTTATGCATTTAAGTTCAGATTTAAAATACACACACATATAGTTATTTAGCTGTGTGTGTGTGTGTGTGTGTGTGTGTGTATGCATGTATATATACCATGTATATATGTTATGTCTCCCTAGAATTTTTTTTTTAAGAGAATACAGAGAAGTTTTTTTCTAGATTTATTTTATTTATTTATGCACACAAGAACTGGGATGCAGGCCAGAGTTGCAGGGGTTGAGAGGATTCACCAGAGACAGAGTGGAGAGCAGAATAGGTGGAGCCACTGAAATACCCTGCTGTGGGAGAGCAGCGGGCGAGACCAGGAATTTGGCATGCCATGTGGGTCAGCTCCTTGTCTGAGGATCGAACTCATGCTGCAGTGGCTGTGGATAGCTTGATAATGCTGAGATTCAAATTCTGTGCAACCAGGGAGCCCCCTCCCTTAGAATTTTAAGTAGGGAAATCTAAAGTAGAAAAAAAATCATTGAAGATAAGCTGGAAAATAATAATCACAAGCTTAGGGTTTTCTTTTGACAGAATTAGACCCTCCAGCTCTCTGAGCTGCCAGGCAGGCCAGGTCTGCCGGGACTTTGCCTAGAGCAAGGCAGCTGTGTACCAAGCTGGTGGAGATGTGGTGTGATCTTTAATTTTCTTTAATTGTGGTAAAATAAACACAACAAAGAAACCCCTTTAAGTCATTTGGAGCTACTTGATTTAGTGGCATTGGGTAGGTTGACACAGCTGTGCCACCATCGCCCTCATCTCCAGCACATCTTTCATCTTCCCAAACTGAACCTCTGTGTTCATTAAGCAGCAGCCCCCAGGCCCCATTCTACTTCCTGACTGTGAATGTGGAGGCGCTGGGTGCCTCCCTGGAGTGGAATTATCCAGGGTCTGCCTTTTCAGGACTGGCTTGCTTCATTCAGCCTGTCTGCAGTGTTATCCGTGCTGTAACACGTGTCGACATAGCCTTTCTTTTGAAAGTCGAATGAAATTCCACCCTGTGTATCCACGACGTAGTTTTTATCCATTCATCGCTCAGGGACACTTGGGTGGCTTCCACCTCTGGGCTTTTGTGAATAGTGCTGCTCAGAACGCTGGGTACTGGCATCCTTTCCACACCCCGCTTGCTTTCCTTCTTTTTTAAATAGCAGCTTGATTGAGATTTTTTCATTAACCGCTTGATTAATTTAATTAATTTTTCATCAAGATAATGTTGGTTACAACACTGTATCTGATTTAGGGGTGTAAGTTTAAGCCTCTTCAATGTGTTACCACATCATGTCCTCTGCCAAAGCCCCCATTACCCTCCACCACAGTTCCTGGGGACTCCCCTCACCTCTGGTAGCCTCAGTTCTGCAGTCAGATTCCAAAAGTTTGGTTTGTCTGTTCCTTTGCTTTGTTTCTTTAATTTTTCACATATGAATAAATTGACACTCTTTTTTGTTAAAGATTTATTTATTCATGCATACAAGAACTGGGGTTCAAGCCAGAGGTGCAGGAAGGGGTCAGAGAGCTCACCAGAGATAGAGTGGGGATCAGAACAGGCAGAATGACTCAACTACACTGCTGGAGGGAGCAGCGGGTGAGTCAGGAGATGTCTGCTGTGCCATGTGGGTCACCTCCAGGGTGGGGATCAAACTCCAGGTGCAGGAGCTGCAGATAACCTTACAGTGCTGCACTTTAATCTGTTGCACCACTAGGAAGGGCCAGGCACCCTCCTTTTAATTCTTTGGCTGTGCATTCTGAAGTGGGGTTGCTGGGCTATTTGGTAGCCTTTTTTTTCTTGTTGGAGGAACCATCATTTATTTCCCCAAACAGCTGTTCTGCTTTACATTCCCACCAGCCACGCCCAAGGCTCCAGTGTCTCCACCTCATCGCTGGTCCTTGTTATTTTCTGTTTCTGTCTTAGACAGTGGCCCTCCTAGTGGGTGTGAGGGGGTGGCTCATTGCGGTTGGGTTTGCATTTTTCTAATGACTAATGATGCTGATCCCTTTCCAGGTGTTCATTGCCCCCCCCCCTTTTTTTAAGCTTCTTTGGAAAAATGCCTTCATATCATTTGCCCATTTTTTTTTTTTAAAACGTTGTTTGCTTTTTATTATCGAATTATAGGAGTGTCCTGGATAGTCACCCTTCCGTAGGTATAGGATTTCCTCCCGCTTCCTGGTTTATCTCTTCATTCTGTCGACAGGCTCCTTGGATACAGGCACACTTTCTGTTTTGATGTAGGCCAGCTTATCTATTTTTATTGCCTGTGTGTTTTTGTGTGCCATGTCACTGCCAAATCTAATTGTCCTGATGCTTTCCCCTAAGTTTTCTTTTGAGAGTTTTCTAGTTTTCACTCTTGTAATTAGGCCTTTGGTTCACTTTGAATTAATTTTTTTAAGATTTATTTTTTTATGCATACAGAACTGGGGCACACGCCAGAGGAGCAGGGGCAGTGAGAGGCTTCACCAGAGATAGTGGGGAGCAGTACAGGCGGATTGACAAAGTACATTGCTGAGGGGAGCAGCACGTAGGACAGGAGAGGTCTGCTGCGCCATGTGGGTCACCTCCGGTCCCGGGGATCGAACTCTCACTCAAGCAGTTGCTGCTTTCTTGCAGTGCTGCATCTGAACCCATTGTGCCACCCGGGAGGGCCATGTTGAGTTAATATTTATAGAGACTTTTGATTTCATTATGTCACAGGCAAATACAATGCTGTGAGAATCCAATCCAAAATACAAGAGAAAGCAAATGTAGGTGTGTCTGTGGGCATCTGTCTCAAATAAGCCTTTGTTCAACACAACGAAATAACAGCTCATGATATTCCATGCTTAGGTACATTTTTAACAGTGTCTGGGGTGAAGTTGCAGTTCTTCTCCTTCCCGAGTCTTGCCCATTGCCTCTCTGTCTCACATCCGGTGTGCATTATAGCTTTCATTACTGGGAGCCTCATACTTCTCTTTTTGCACACTGAGGCCCCAGATGATCAATCATAGTAATTGCAGTGAGTATCTGAGGGGATACTTTTCAGGAACAATGCTAAGCACTTCCTATGTACCATTTATTTCACTGCATCTGTTAATAATCTCATAAGATGGTGTGATTACCACCCTCTTTAAATTTATGGAAATTGGGGCTTAGGGAGATTAAGCCACTCGACCATGTTGAACCAGGCCTCAAGCCCTGATCGGTTTGGCACCAAAGCCTCTGCTCTTAACCCCTGGGCTGCTTCCTGGGCTGTTTGCCTCGGGCACCTAGAACCACACTGAATACTGGTGGACCCCTCTGTGTCCAGGCAGTTGTGAAATCAAAGGGTTTTCTCCCTCTGTCTTCATACAGTCAGGGTGCACCTGAGTATTACCAGGTCTGCTTCTCTGACTTGTTGTCCTGTGAACAGACACTGGCCCTTCATCACCCAGTGAGAGGGACTGGCAGGAAGAAGGCCAGGACAATCGTGCCCTCGTCTTCTAGGGTGACCTTAGAACTGGCTTCCTCTGAAAACCCTGAGACCCCATAAGAGAGCTCACCAAGGAGTCCTCCCATAGCAGATCCCTTTGATGTGATTATGATTAGCGGTTTCCTATGAAGACGAGCGTGTAAAGGGTCCTGTGGGGGAGGAGGGTTCTGAAGAATCCTCAGTGTTATTTCAGATTCCCATACACACCTCTTCCCCTTCTTGACAGTAGTGGTTTAACGCTGGTAGCTGCAATGTCATGTGTGTCGCTTTTTGGTAACAGCGTCTGTTGTAACTGAGGCATCAGCTTCATCATTTCTAAACCCCTGCTGAGGGGTTTAAAATCTGGCCAAATCTGGCCATATCTGATGGTCCGTTGGTGAGTGACCTGTGGGCATTGACTATCAACAAGTGTTGGAGTGGGGAGAGGAAGTGTAAGACCTCATGAGAATAGACAAATGCTTGCTTTTTTTTTAAATTTTAAATATATATTTTAATTTTTTTTACTTCATTCTTCGTTTTGTGCATTTTTTCATCTCAGTTGCAATCCCCATGGGCTTCCCACCTTCAGTTCACCCGTGTGCCATCACCACAGCCCAGTACACTCTTCCCACCCCAGTTCTGATCCCATTTTCCCTTCCACCCCCTTAAAATATCTCTGGTTTATAGTTGTTCATTGTTTTCATTTTTACTCTATTACATTTGTTCAGACAAATGATTTCTAAGTGTTTGTAGATGGAACTCTGTTTCATTTGTACTTTGTTTCTTTCAAAAAAATTTTTTCCCTTCAGGTTGTCTGCCTTTTAATCCTTTTAATCCACAGAAACATATTAGCCTTTGTTTTCTGAAATATTTTCATTGGTTGAGCTTTTACTTTTCCCCAGTAGTGAATGATAAATTGTGATTTCATTCATCATCGCTTTCCTTCACATGAACTCACACAAGGTTTACACCTAGAATGAAGTCACTGAACAAAATGAAGGCTGGGATGTTTGTGAGGGGAAAGCAGTTGTTGCCATGTGGGTGCATCAGATGCTCAAATGGAACAGCATCTCATATTAACTCTGACCTTAGGGACAAAAAACTTTGGCCTGAATGAAACAATAAAAAAAAAAAAAAAGGTTTCTCTTCAGTGTGTTTTTTTGTTTTTTTTTTTTTTTTTAAAGATTCATTTATTTATACATACAGAACTGGGGTACAGGCCAGAGGTGCAGGGGCAGTCAGAGGATCCATCAGAGACAGAGTGGGAAACAGAACTGGCAGATGGACGAAGTACACTGCTGAGGGGAGCAGCAGGCGGGTCAGGAGAGGTCTGCCACACCATGTGGGTCACCTCCGGGGCAGGGATCGAACTCGCACTTAAGCAGCTTTAGCTTCTTAGTGCTGCGTTTACCCGCTGCGCCACCAGGGACGCCCTGTGCATTATCTGG